AAGGGTCCAGACCCAAAATATCAGCTTTCCTGCTCCTCTGATGCTGCCTGGCCTGCTGTGTTCATCCAGCTCTACACCTTGTTATCTGAGCAAGAACACAGGATGTTTGTGCCAGGACCTTGGTTTACACTCAGTGGTCCTGAGTTCAGACCTGTTTCACTGGCAATATTAGATTCAAATCAGCGCTTGACTCAAAACATAAAATATAAACCGTCTTGCTTACAGGCAATCCCCGTGGTCCGATTGGTCCTGCATATCCAGGATCCCCTTTATCGCCCTAAAACAAATACCAACACAGTTTTATCAACAGTACAATCAGACCGTACATACATTCAAGGTTAATGTTGATTTACTCACTACGTTATTCGTGCTGAGCTCTGCCAGTAAAGTCACACTGGTTATAAGAATGTCAAAGACTCTGCCTCCTCATTTGGAAGAGTACTGGATGAATTGAGCTTCTCAGCTCTGCACAATACTCTGTGGTTTATCCCACACGGTGAGCGTGTTCAGATGGTGGACAGTCTGAACCATGAGGTGCATGCTTTGCTTGAACAAATAAACATTTTGGCTGCTTAATGGTTCAGTTGCTAAGTGACTTGACTGAAGTGGAATGGAGATATACTGGACTACAAGGCCTTTATCCTTTCTCTTTGCTTTAGTTATGTGACCTCAGTGGTTTAATTGGCAAGAGCCTGACAGAGCTTTCGTAACAAATTGTTATGGTCTCTTGCTAGAATGCAAGGAATTGAATGCCACATATTTGACTGTGTGTGTTTCTGTGTATTAATATGTCTATGTAGGACACACTGCCAGGAGGTAGTATCATAATGTTAAAGTCACTGGAACAGCAATCCAGAACTCACACGCTAACGTTTTGGGGGTACAGGTTCAAATCCCACCGTGGTAGTAAAAATCTGGGATAAAAAGCTAGCTTCATGGTCACCATATAACTTCTGCTGAATGTTAAAAAAAAAATCCACCGGCTTCATTAACATCTGCCAGGGAAGAATAGAATCGTAGAATCCTTCAAATCTGCCATCCTTACTCACCGTGGCCTATATGTGACTCCTGACCAACAGTGGTTGACCCTTAACTGCCCTCTGGGTAATTAGGGATGAGTAATCAATACTGTCCTAGCCAGCAATATCTCCATGAATGAAGAAAGGTGAAAGGAAAACTCCCCCATTGGGAGTCCCTCAGAATCAGGTGCAGTTCTGCTCTTCCTCTCCCACTTGCTTCCACTCTCTACAGAATGCCGGGCAGGCTCAAACGGCATTTCACCAAATCCTGTGGCTTTCCTGCCCGGTGAGGAACTTTACACTGACAACCCCCGATCTAAGTTTCTGTCAATGACAGTCAGTTAACCCAGGGTCATAAAGTCTCCAGATCTGTGCAGCAATATCTCAGCCAGACCCTGTAACTTCAGAAAGAAAGAGGAAGCATGGAGTGGAGTCCAGAACAGTAATTACAAACAAACACTTCTCTGGAAGAAAATACACAGGATACATTCAGCAAAGCTGAAAATCAGTTGTCTCCAAACTTAGTGACTTTCAGGAGAAATTCAGAACTTTTGAAACCAGAATTGTGTTTTCCTGATTTTTTATTTTTAAAAGCATCATTGTCATAGTCACTCTGGGAAAAGAATGCAGTGTGTTGAACAAAATGTTCATCGGAGTTACATTTCTGCAAATGTTTGTAATTAGACCTCCCTTGGTTTGATTGATGTGTCAGGCTCAGCGATGATGTCATGACTGTCGAAACAGGATTACAGTGAGCCAGGTAACTTCCCTGTGCGCTTTATCCTGAAATTACACATGGAGCTTCCTTCTTTCCAAATTCCACTCCCCTCCTCATCCCTTCACCTGATTCTTTTACTCATCCTCCTGTCACAACTCTGCATTGTGTGATCAGTTGCTTTCAGGCATTATCACCCGATTTCCCCGCCAAAGGTTGGGAATCAGCTCATCATTTCATAAGCCTTGACTGTTGATGGGTATTTTCCCCAAATGTTCCCCCACCATCTCTATAACCTGCAAATCTCTGCAAGTTTTTGGGAAGTGTCACCTCACTCATTATGAGCACCTCCCTCACCCTTCGGAGCTCCATTTTCTCCAGTTAAGATTCCATTCTGTCCATAGAATTGAGACAAGCCTGTGTTACTATTCCTCATCCTGTCCTTGGCATTTGGTGCAGTTGATTCTAATCACTCATATCCACTTATTCTCCTCTCTGCTCTGCCCACGGACAAATGACTCTCTTCTTGCAGGCATCCAGATGGCTCTCTCCTCCAACTGCAATTCAACTAGAGAGTACAATATTTTGTCTTGCTCTAGCCCAAACCCTGAATCTTGTCCATCATCAAGCCTGCCTACCTTTCCCACTGAATATCCTTGCACTATATCATCCATTCTCGCTGTTGCTTAACAGCTCAAGCCAATCACTGCCCATACAGTCACTCCATGCAGAGAAACCTTTAAGAACTTCACAAGCATGGCCATGGTATCTCAAGGTAGAGGTTTCAAAATACGCCCACTGCCAGCCACACAGACTCAGCACCTTCCTCGCCTCTTCTTCACCCAGCTGTTGGGTTTTTTGTTGGTTTCCCCATGCACACACACAAGTATTGTTTTATCTCAGAACCATTTTCAAGTCACAAAGAAGGGTTATCACTGGACTAAAGACAAAGAACATCACCGGACTAACTCAGTGGGGCCAGTTTGTTAGATACATTCTAGAGGGAGCTGGACGTAGTCCTTGCAGCTAAGGTGATCAAGAGGTCTGGAGGGAAAACAGGAATGAGATACTGAAATTGCATGGTCAGCCATGATCATACTGAATGGTAGTGTGGGCTTGAAGGGCTGAATGGCCTACTCCTGCTCCTCTTTTCTATGTTTCTATGAACATCCACTCACATCCCTCCAGGGAAGCTGGTGGAATTAATAAATTCACTGAATAAATCTGCAACTTAAAGCTAGTCTCAGTAATGGTGTCAATGAAACTATCACCAATTGTTTTAAAACCCATCTGATTCACTAATGTCCCTTAGGGAAGGAAAACTGCTGCCCTTTCCTGGTCTGGCCTACATGTGACTCCAGACCCAAGCAATGACTTTTTAGTTCTCTCTGAAATAGCTGAGTAAGCCACTCAGTTCAAGGGCAATGAAGGATGGGCAACAAATGCTGGCTCAGTCAGTGATTACCAGATCCCACAAAACAGTACACTGATGTTGAGTTTCTGTAGGTTTGGCCTGAGTTTTATAAAGCAGTTAGCCTGATATTGGCTAAAGCAGCATATTATATTGAGGTGGTTTTTCGTGCAAATGGAGAACAAATCAAGTTTCTGTGATGCTTTTGCTGGTTCAACAACAGCACACTGGAAGCCAGCCAGTGATGGTGGTTATTGTTCCTGAATTTATCAACTTGGTGAGTTTCTGTTATGGTTGGAGTAGGGTCTTTAAACTGGGCTAATTCTTTTCCCATGTGGGAAGCCTCAAATAGATAACTGCCGAAGTATTTTTAAACTTAAAAAAAAGGATATTTTACTCAATCCTTCAGTATACTTCTTTCAAAGTCATTTTCAGAAGTTTACAATCAGGTGGCTCACAGATAGAGGACTGGACACCAATCAATCATTGCCTGGTCTGAAGTTAACCAATTAATTAAGATTAACAGTTCCTGCTGAAGGGCTCTCTTGTGGCACAGTGGTAGTGTCTCTAACCCTGGACTGGGAGGCCCAGATTCAGGTCCCACCTGCTCCAGAGGTGTGTAATAACATCTCCGAACAGGTTAATTAGAAAAATAGGTAAATAAAAAAAGTAACAGTTTCTGCCACATTCCCATGCCAACCAATGGACAACCTTATCTTTCACAATATAAATGGTTGTTCCCTTTCAAAGCTTCACAGAAGAGTTACCATTTGTAGATACAAAAATGACCTTGAGCAAGAATTTCAACAATGACTTTGCTCTGGAAAACCAATTCAATTTCATCTGCAACTTACACCCAAGTTGCTAATTGGGTACAAAGGAAAAACTCTATCTCACCATTTACAGGAAAAGGGCACATGCATCCCTCACTATCTGTGGAGTGAGGAGTGAGAACACAGAGGGAATGGGAGGGAGCAAGGAGAGAGGAAGAAAAGAGAGAGGGAGAGAGAGAAAGGGAGGAGAGAGAGAGAAAGGGAGAGAGGGAGAGGCTGGAACAAGAGTGAGAATGCGATTTGGAGAGGGGGAGAGACAGAGAGAGAAAAAAGGAGAGATTGACTCATTGTGTGCTTTGTGCAACACATTCTGTCTCGCTCTCTCTTTGTGCTTTTCATGGACATTGGGGTGTAGTGACATCAGCAACATCACTGAACTCAACCAACTGTTCAGGACTGAGTCAGAAACGGCTGCAAATGGCACAAAGAACAAAGAAGGCATTAGCTCGAGTCTGACAGTGCTTCCAGCAATGACTGTGTCCACAAGCACCTCTGTTTATTCCATCACCTAACTATCTTTGTCAAAACAGAAGCCAGGTATAGGCACTATTCTATTGCAGTTCTGATTGTTTCACTAGACTAATTTAAGTGATTGTGCAGATGTATTTGGACAGGATTACAGTAAGAAAAGGACTATCGTGTAGTGTTATTAATCAGATAAATAGTCACTGTGCCACATGTAAAATATGTTTATATTTTGAACTTCATTTGTTTATTTCCCATCTGCTACAGTTTCTCTCACCAAACTTTAAAGTCCAAGGATCTGCCTCATCACTGTTCGATACTAACCCCCCCCAAACAAAAGTGTGTATAAAGTCCCTTGGAAAAAGATATTGCCTGTAGGTAAATATTCTAATCTTCATTAGATTATTTACTGCTGTCTGTTTCTAAGCAGTATTTATGTCATCTGGAAATGAAATAATTTTAGCCAATGATCCCACATTTTGTCTGACTCTTACCCTTTCTCCTTTTGGTCCTGCTGGCCCTGGTACACCCTACATGGAAATGAATATATTTAAGAACATCAGACTATCTACTCCCAGCATCTAGCAACAATAATGTATACAACAATACTATATACAATCGTGTATACAATAAGTGTATACAACTGCACCATATATAATAGTGTATACAACCAAACCATATACAGTAATGCATACAACAATACCATATACCATAATGTATACAATAACACCGTATGCAAAAAAGGCCCAGTGTTAGAACAGAAGAGCACTTTGCTCATTCAGAGAACAGAACGTGGACCAGTTGCTCAGCCTAAAGAAAATTAAGTAGCACTTTCTTAGTAGGACTGGGGCATTTGTGTTGGTGACATAACCCTGGGTTTCCTCCAATGGAGTGAAAAACTTTCAGTGATATCCCTCCTCAAGCCAATCATTAGAACATCTTATACATGGAGGCATGAGTCAATGGCTCGGAAGTAATCTTCCTTCCAATTTCCCAGTGGTGTTACAGTTAGATTTGGGAATGCTGCATCAGGTGATTTCTTTGGATGGATTGACATCTTTCCATTTCATGAGACACGAATAAATCTTACATTCTGATTTAGGTTTCTTAGAAAATTCAGTGCTTCACTGAATGAAACAAAGGAAAGTTACTGATGTTAGTAAAGAGGTGACAGCAGTTTAAATGGAATTTAAATGGCTGCAGGGACGGTGGGGCAATTTAAATTTTTAGAGCCATTATTTATATACGAAGTACCTGTGTGAAATTTAATTTATTTCTACAAGGTATGTCAGGTGAATTTAACCTGTCAGAGAGGGATGGTGCAGGAGAGCTTTGTCAAAGACGTCTGAGTACAATTAACAGAGGCTCTGAAATACTGACAATACAGGCTGAGGAAAGTTAATGAACTGACTCAGATTCATCTCTCTGCTTTCTTAGCAATTACACTAATGGTTAAAGACTTGCTGTATAACTGCATGGGGGAGGGCCAGGTAATGAGACTGTAGTTGGGAAATATGTAAGTTGCAATGCAACCTAATGTTTCAGTGCAATATTGCAGGGTGGGAGGGAAGTGGTTGCGAGACAAATACCCTACTGTTGAATTGGCTAAATATTCAAGGAGATATACACTGCTAAAGTCAACTTAATCTAGAATTTATAGCCTGATGCATTCCTGTGTGTTGTTATCGTCTATTTTTTCCTTTATTAAATAATGTGTTATGTCATGATCATTATCAATTGTAACAGTGAAATTTACAGTTAAAATCTAATTGTCCTCCATAAGGTACAGAATCGCTATTCTGCAGACAATCTGCATTTCCAGGTGAACAACATTTCCCTTTCATATCATGATCAGATCTAAAATCCAAGAAGTTTCTAAAGCACAATGACTCTGTTTTAATGCACTGCAAAGCATTTACAACCAGGTTCACTCATTATTAATTGTTTAGTTTCAGGACCTAAACTAAGTGCTATTGAATGTGAATGTCTGGCTCAATGGTCCCTGGCACCGTGCTGGCAGCTTGGTATAAGTGCTTCTACCTCGCTGAAGGTAGCTACTTTCCCCGGTATGAAGAGGACACTCAGAATTTGTCCAGCAGCTGCTGACAGATGTTACTGGAAGTTGGATATGAGCAGGCAGACAGACATGTTCATTCACTCCAGGACTGGCATTCAGACAGGAATTCTACCCTAGCTTTGTAACATCAACTAATGAAATTACCAGTCTATGGGGTGAGGCTAGCATGAAGGCTTAAAGCCACAGTTATCCATTGACCTGGATAATTACCATTTTAGATAGAGACTGGAGGGATGGGGGAAATCTTTGGAATTCTGGCAGTTCTCAGATAGTTTCAGTGACAGATGTTTAAATCCAAGCTAACAGTAAATGGGATAACAAGTTGCAGAGCTGGATGAACACAGCAGGCCAAGAAGCATCAGAGGAGCAGGAAAGCTGACGTTTCGGGTCTAGACCCTTCTTGGGTCTAGACCCAAAACGTCAGCTTTCCTGTTCCTCTGATGCTGCTTGGCCTGCTGTGTTCATCCAGCTCTACACGTTGTTATAACAGTAAATGGATTGACTTATTACCTCAATATTCCAGACACTGCTAATAATCAACCAGCTTGCCCTACCTTTGAGGGATACACCAACAGCTGGGAACAAGATGTTTGCCTGCTCTAATCTCAACTACCTTGTACCTAATGGGTCAGCTAGTCCTGTATGGACAAGTGCAACTGTGTTGTTCTGCTAACTTCCACAGCTTTAGTTGGTTTACCTCCTGCAGTGTCGCTGATAATTTGGCTCTGCATGCTGTAAGATTAGAGGAGCTGAATATTATGTAAGTGGAGAAAGACTGCAGGAAATTATAGAACAGTGGAATTTGGGACCTCTCAGGGATAAGTCTCAAAAAGCTAGCATCCAAGTTCAGCAGATAATGGGGAAACAAATGGAATGGAATATGGAGGTAAGGTGATAGAACTGTACAAGGCACTAGTCATACCACAGCTGGAATACTGTGAACAGTTTTGGGCCTTTTAGCTAAGGAAAGATACACTGGCATTGGAGGCTGTTCAGAGATGGTTTACTTGGCTGATCCCAGGTATGCAGGGACTGTTTTACGTGGTGACGTTCAGTAGGTAAAGCCTGTCCTAACTGGAATTTAGAATAATGAAAAGTGACCATATTGACACATACAAGATCCCTGGGCACATGATGCGGAAAGGTTGTTTGTGGGAGTTTCAGACCAGGGGACATAATCTCAGGTTAAGGGATCATCCTTTTAAAACAGGGGTGAGGAGGAATTTCTCCTCTCAGACGGTAGTGAATTTGTGGAACTCTTTAACAAAGAGGACCGAAGCAGCCGGGATAATGTATATTCGAGGCTGAGACAGACAGATTTTTAATTTGGAAGGGAGTCAAGGTTTATGGGGAAAAGGTAGGAAAGTGGAGTTGAGGATTATCAGGTGACCCATGATTTCATTGAATAGCAGAGCAGACTTGATGGGCTGAATGGCCTATTTCTGTTCCCACATCTTATGGTCCCAAGGAATCTACCTTGGTAATTGCCAAGTGGACCAACAGAGTGAGATTATGAGCTGTATAATTGGGAAAGCAGAGACTGCTCAAGCAGCTGTTGATGTCTTCATGTCTTCAGACGGGGATTGTAAAGTATAACGAGAAATCTCATGCAACCTAAATATTCTGAATGGAGCGAACAATCTTCTCAGGCGGCAACATAGAACCACTGATAGGAAATCAGTTGCCGAATTTCATTTGCATTCAATTGGAATTTCACCTCCATTATTGTTGCACCAAATTATTCATTCAGTCTGGAGTCAAGGATCATTGTTGTTTTAAGGGTCCACCTTGGTCAGTATAGCTCTAAGGTTATGGGACCAAATTACACATCAACATTAAATGCTTCAGACCTACTAAGACAGAATAGATTGACTATAAACCACAGATTGCTTTGGTATATGAAAATGTAGGATATTTGAAAATCTCAAAATGGAACCAGAATTGGGTAATGTTCAGTATAGCACTGTGTTTAAAAGAAAAAAAAGCAAAAGGACCAAATTTTGACCTCCTACATTAGTTAATTTACCAGAATTACAACACTGTGGCTCTAAAGATTCGTACCCATTGAACAGTCACGTTACTTAAGCAGCTCCTAACACAAATGATTGACCAAAAGGTTAACTAAGCAATCACATGCATTGGCATATTTCTCATGCTTCATTTATCATGGAATCAGTCCACTGTACAGGCATGTAATCCAGCAACATTTAATTCATTAGGCAGTCCGAGAGCAGTGTAGCAGGCATGAACGATCGAACAGAATGGATGTATGGAACTCACCAGTGGCCCAGGCTGTCCATCAAAGCCAGAAGCACCCTGGACGGTGTATGAAGTGTTAAAAGTGGAAAGAACAGTGGGGAAGAGATGAGTGTAGCAGTGAAAAGGGACATGTGTGGCATAACTCAATGAAAGGTGATGACATAACGTTGAAAGAGATTAGGACTTGACATATCTGTCAGTGCACAAGAATGTTTGTAGAAAAACAAAACATACGGTTGAATATTTCAAGCTCATTGGCTACAAAAACATTTAATTCTTCATTCTATGAGTGGTAATAGAACCTTTATACCGTTACCTGTTCTACATTTCTACATGACAGCAGGAAGTCTCAGAAATTAGTGCAAGATTCTAGTTGGGAAAAGTGAATGTCAACTCTTCACGACTAGCAGAGGGGGAGTGTGACCAATGTGGCATGTTATTGAAAGTGAATTGTGATACATGTAAATTGGACCAATAATGAATTATGCCTCTGAACAATGAATGATGTTCTGACCCACACTTCAACTGTTTCTCGCTCTACAGATGCTGCCAGACCTGCTGAAATTCACCATCAATCAGTGGTATGAAATATGTCAAATATTGATGACACAGCAATATTTTCTGCCCATTACATAATCCCATTAGTGGACAGTAAAATATTGAACGTAGGAAAGAATGGCTACCATAATACACTTGGATCTTGAGGTCATATTGTACCATCCCATCATTGAACACTTAGTCCATTCTGGTGAACATCTCTGCTGTTTTAATGGTGGTTTTAAATAGGCAAGATTTAATTTGTGCTTGTGCTGTGATTGGCCTGTTCCTTCATTGTAGTAATAGTCTGGTAATGAGGAGAGGACTTTTGCGGTTATAGAGACTGATATTACAAGCAGGTAGAGCAGAATGGGTTTATATTGCATGAAATTTCAAAGAATGAAGTGGTTTCAATAAAGTAAGGTGACAAGGTAATTGACAATTTCCCCGGCTGGTGAATCAGAAACTAGGGTCATAGTCTCAGGAAAATCTCAGCAGGTCTGGCAGCACCTGTGAAAAGAAATCAGAGTTAACGTTTCAGGTCCAGTGACCCGTCCTCAGAACAGACCCATAACGTTAACTCTGATTTCTCTCCACGGACGCTGCCAGACCTGCTGAGATTTTCAAGCAATTTCTGTTTTTGTTTCTGATTTATAGCATCCGCAGTTCTTTCATTTGTTTTCGTAGTCTCAGGGTAGGGTCTCAATCATTTAGACCTTCTTCATTCAGATGTTATCCATATTTGGAATTCTCAATCCCAAAGAGCTGTGAATACTCAGTCATTAAGCATATTCCAAGACTGGGGTGATAACATTTTTGAGTGATTGGGAATTCAGTTTTGTAATAAAGCAGGAGATTGCAGATGAGGTAAGAGAGCAGAGCAGAAGCTGAATAGCCTCTTCCTGTACCTATTTTATATGTAATTGAAATAACAGTATTACAGATAGCCATAAGTCATGAAGCAAAGGCCTGCTATTTTAAATTATGATAGTCCACTGCAGTAAAATAAAATTGGACAATAGGACTTAAAGTAACCATTACTCCATGAATAGTCCCAGAATTCTGTTCTATGTTCTTTCTTTGTTGTTGTGATTTACAGTGTATTTATTTGTTAGAAAGGTAAATATTGTGAAATAATTTGGGGAATGCATGAATAGCTGGAATGTATTTGACAAAAGAATTGCAGTTTCACAGCAGTTCTTGTTAATCCAAACACCCAGACCTCTCTGACTGAGCACATGGACAGCACACAAATCTTGTTGCACTTTGTGCTGGACCCTCATGATTTCTTCCTTCCGACACAAGTGCCAAGTTCATGTTGAGAAAACTCATTTATCATAATTTCAGCTTGCCTTTGTACTTTCAATGCAGTGTGTCTGTCAAAAAAAGCCTAGACATTCCTCCCTCCCCCCGGGGTTGGGGTCTGGTTATGGCTACATATGTTTTCTCCTGTATCTTCCCCATGTTACACAAGTTCTCTCTCATCTTTGAGGCTCTTCTCTCCCCTCCACCCCACATGTCCTTTCTCCAAAGCCCACATGTCTTGCATTCTTCCAAGGCAGAGTGCAGCTATGTGCATGTTTTATTTATTTATTTATTGAAGAAAACTTTATTTTACCTACGTGTTTTATTGTGTGTTGCTGAGTCGCCCACAGCTTGTGCCACCAAAACAATTCATGGTTTGGTGGGCCTGGGGTCATGTTTCCACGGAATGGAAAGGTCTATTCAGGAGGGTGTACAGCTCAGATATGGTTTGGTAAACTGGGTAGGTGAATGTTTACCTCTGGATCGGATCATTTTGCTGCACATGTTTTATCGTTATCTCACTTTACAAACCTGAGGTTGACGTGCATTCACACACACATTATCGTTAGATGCTTTCTACACTATTAGCTTTTCGAGGGTTAATCGGATTTGAAGTATAGGTTACACACACTCTCATGCCCTGACGTGGCATTCCCGAAATGCCAAGCAGATATCAGAATTGTTGCAGACAGTTGCAGTCAAAGATATAACTTACAGGCAGTCCCAGGTGACCTCGGTCACCTTTATCACCTTTCACACCATCTGACCCAGGGTCACCCTGCACCAATGACAAAATGAGCACAGATTACTTTCAACAGTGTCGTATTTATCATATATACATTACCAATCTTTAATAATTTTATCAGATGATTTCATACAACCCCTTAGATCCAGTCAACCGTCTCAAGGTGATCATTAGATGCTATTGTAGCAGCAATTTTCTGACTGATGCCCTTTTAACACCAGCCTGACTATTATAAAGATATTAATTTCAGGTTTAAGGGAGTGCTCTAATCTGAGCACAAATATCTTTGAGAATTGTCTCAACTGAAGGGGAAGACTTGAAGATAAAGGCAAGAACGTGGGAGCTGTGTATTAGTCCCTCTAGTCCCTTGGTTGGCTTGGGCATGTGTTGCAGGTGCTAGAACAATGCACAGAATCAGAATGGAAACCTGGGAGATGAAAAATGACTCAGTTCTGCAGAAGGAGATTTACTGCAAGTTGAGAGTTAACTCAAACCAGGATGGGGTGAGTGGGAGAAACTGCTACCAGTCAGATAATCTGATATAGACAGGTTTCGTCATCACTCTGATATTTCTATTGAAATTGATTAGGTTCTGATGTTACTTTATAGAAGACCAAAGCAATTCCCAGTGCTGATGATATTACAAACTTAACCTGTCAAAAATACTTCAGGGCCATTATATTCAGCGTTTGACACTGGCCAAGATCTTAAACAACCTTGATGCAAAACAAATTGGAAAGCAGATTGAGAACAGCATTTATTATAAGAGCAGACATGGTGAAAGGGGCTACCAAAAACATTTGAACAAGGTTTAAGAGTCTCTCACATTGATCATGATTGACACACAGCTGCTCAGAGATTCATAGAAACTGGGAGAATCCATGGAGAAGATGAAAGCTCTCCATTTGGAAAAAAACAAATCAGCCCAAGGTGATGTACACAGCAGCTCATTTCTAATGTGAGGGAAACAGTTCTCATTTCCCTCTTCAGAAAGCTGGACTGCATGTCAATAAAACAAATGTCACAACTGGTTTCCATTTCAAGGAGGCTACAAATTTTAACCGATGCAGAAGGAGGGGAAGATTACAGTGAAGAAAAACATCAAACTAATCTCTGCAATCTGCATAATGTGCAATTGAGTATAACTAAAATTACCTTTGTTCCTGGAAGACCATGTGGTCCCTGAGAAAATAGAAACCAAATTTAAGGGAAAAAATAACGTTTCATACAGAAAATATATCTGCTTAGTTGCATATACTAATTGGGGTCCTTTTGGGTTTTAAAAAAGAACTATTTGCAGTATTTCGTAAAGTTTATTTTGGTCGTGTGCGTGTGTGTGCGCGCATGTGTGCGTGTGCGCGTGCGCGCATGTGCACGTGTTTGTGTGTGTGCGTGCGTATGTGTGTGCGTATGCGTGTGTGTGTGTGCGTGTGTGCGTTTGGGGTGTTAAAATGAGCTAAGTTTGCAAGTTATTTCTTTTGATTGGATTGAAACCTCACAGCAGCTGCAATTTAAATCTAAGTTTAGATCTTTAGCCAGAAACATGAAGCTACATGAAGAATCAACTGCCACCAAAACTAAAATTAAATCTTTTGTGAGCTTATTAGTAGCTGCTTGCAAATCTCCCCTCCTGTCTATAAGGTTAGTATTTAATATCCTCTCACTTGGAGTCTTTCATGTTATTCTGGTTTCCTGGTGGTAAGAGGAGAATGAATCCTTACCATTGGACCTGGAGGTCCCTCTGGCCCAGGTGGTCCTGGAGGACCACTAACCTGCAAAAGCAAAAACCAACCGTCAGTAAATAAACTAAAAAGCCTTTCCAAACAATTCATGGAAACAATGCTGTATCTCACTGTACAGTTATCACGATTTAAGGAATGGTAGTGAAGGCTCCCTCAATTGGAGGAAAACCCCTCAGAGAGTTGCGCAAAAATTACTTTAAAACATTTCGAGGAGGTAATGGAAACAATCCTGGTTAGTCCTCCTTTATAACATCTGGGGGCTAGTGCCAAAACTGGGAGAACTGTCTCACAGACTGGTCACACAACAGGCCAACAGTCAGACTCATGGAATTATACATTACAGACAATATTTCAGACAACACTGCTACAATCCCTGGATGTGTGTTGTCCCACCGGCAGGACAAACCCAGCAGAGATGGTGGCACAACGGTTCACCCTCAGACGGAGTTCGCCTAGGACCGTTCAAAGTTGGCTTTGGATCCATGAAATCTCATGGCACCAGATCAAGCATGGGCAAGGAAACCTCCAGCTGATTACCATGTACTGCAACAAATAATTATGAATGTTTGTGGACAATTAAACAACTCATAGGAGGAGGAAAAGGCTCCACAAATATCCCCATCCTTAATGATGGGAGAGCCCAGCATATCAGTGCAAAAGACAAGGCTGAAGCATTTGCAACAACCTTCAGCCAAAACTGTTTAGTAGTTAGTCCATCTCAGCCATCTCCAGAGGTCCTCAATATCAGAAAGGGCAGTCTTTGGCCAAATCGATTCACTCCAAGTAGTATCAAACAACAACTGAAGATACTAGATACTGTAAAGGTTATGAACCCGAACAACATTCCAGCAATAGTACTGAAGAACTGTGTTCCAAAATTTGCTGCACTCCTAACCAAGCTGTTCCAGTATAGCTATAACTCTGGCATCTACTCGACAATGTGGAAATTTACACAGGTAAGTCCTGCACACAAAAAGCAGGGCAAATCCAACCCAGCCAATTATCACTCCATGAGTCCACAACAAAGTGGTGGAAGTTGTCAACACCGCTCTCAAGCAGCACTTGCTTTGCAATATAAAAAAAAGCGACTAAAATAGATATCATTATTTGGTGATGCATAGAGCTCTCGTTTACAGGTAGATTGTTCAATGTTTATGAATATTACATCTGATACTTCATTTGTGACAATATTTAATCTGAGTTAGCTTTCATGGCTTATTGTGGTCTGCAATGCATTGCCTACAGATTCAATCAGAGCTTTCAAAGGGGAACTAGATAAATATTTGAAGAAGAAAAATTTGCAAGACTGTGGGATGGCATCTAATTGAACGGGTTGCTCAAAAGGTATTTATACGTGAATATCCACACTGGTCAAGCCCACAGTCACTCAGTTTCCCTCATTTTACCCGTTACAATGTGTGCTTTTAAAGCAGTCATTCAACGTTCCTAAGAGCATACTTTGGCTGTTGCTTTGGGCTGATAGTAAGGCGATTTATGGCAGCTCTGATAGCAGAAAGGATAAAGCATTTTGAATCAGCAACATTTCAGTCAAATAGCCACAGCTTCTGAACACCTAACACTTACCATTGCACAGCTTCCTTCTGTTCATTATCGTGCCTTAGGTCCAACCTGTTATTTTAAATGGGGAAGGCTGTGCAACCACATTGAGCACTCGCATTCTAACAGCACAATCAGTGACATACAAACTTTGGAGTGTTCGTTGTTTGACTTGTGCAGACAAAGTAAATGATACAAGTCTTACCGCATCACCCTTCTCTCCTTTTTCTGCCTGAAATCAAAAATCAAAATAAATTCCAGTCAGTCTTTCCAGAAATAATTGTCTCAGAGGATTCGCCCATTGCATTGATAGATACCAGCAGGAGGGAAACCCTTTATCCCACTGAAAAAAAAAATCAGAGAAAAATGTGTAGATACAATATAGAAATAATCTAACTTTCATTTGTTTCCTTTTCCAGGATGTCACTGGCTGGGCCAGCGTTTGTTGCTGATCCCTAACTGCCCCAGAGAAGGTGATTGTGAGCTGCCTTCCTGAACTGTGATAGTCCATCATTCATAAGAATACCAGAATTAGAAGCAAGAGAAGGTCATTCAACCCCTCAAGCCTGCTCCGCCATTTGATATGTTCATGGCTGATCTCATCTCGGCCTCAACTCCACTTCCCTGCTCATGCTCCATAACTCTTCAACCCATCCATCACTGAATCCCCCACTATCAACATCCTGGGGGTTACCATTGACCAGAAACTCAACTGGACTCACCACATAAACACAATGGCTACAACAGCAGGCGAGAAGTTAGGAATACTGTGGCGAGTAACTCACCTCCTGACTCCTCAAAGCCTGTCCACTACCTACAAGGCACAAGTCAGGACTGTGATGGAATACTCCCCACTTGCCTGGATGAGTGCAGCCCCAACAACACTCAAGAAGCTTAACACCATCCAGGACAAAGCAGCCGCTTGATTGGCACTACATCCACAAGCATCCACTCCCTCCACCACCGACGCTCAGTAACAGCAGTGTGTACTATCTACAAGATGCACTGCAGAAATTCACCAAAGATCCTCAGACAGCACCTTCCAAATCCATGACCACTTCCATCTAGAAGGACTAGGGCATCAGACATATGGGAACACCACCACCTCCAAGTTCCCCTCCAAGTACTCACCATCCTGACTTGGAAATATATTGCTGTTCGTTCACTGTCACTGGGTCAAAATCCTGGAATTCCCTCCTTAATGGCATTGTGGGTCAACCCATAGCAGGAGGACTGCAGCGGTTCAAGAAGGCAGCTCACCACCACCTTCTCAACGGCAACTAGGGATGGGCAAGAAATACTAGCCAGCCAGCGACGCCCACATCCCACAAATGATTAGAAAAAAAACCCATTACTCATTAAAAACTTGTCTCTCTCATTCAGTGTAGGTACCCCCATAATGCCCTTGGGGAGGGAATTCCAGGGTTTTGACCCAGTGACACTGAAGGAACAGCAATATATTTCCAAGTCATGATGGTGAGTGGCTTGGAGAGGAACTTACAGGAGGTGATGTTCCCATGTATCTGTTATAATTGTCCTTCTACTTTATCTGCAAGGAAGCCACAATAGCTCTGCTTTCTGCATAAACTGCTGAGATTATTCCAACTCCATCAATACTGCTGTGTTTGAACTATGCTAGTTTCCTCCCTTTGTTTCGTTAAATTGCCGTGAGAGTGTTCTGAAGCACATGGCCACACTCCCACTGCTTTTCTAAGATGTGGCAACTATGTCCCAGTTCTGAAATACCCTGGGACTGCAGTCTGGGCCACAGTACTGAGAATTTTGAGATGATGTAGTCCCGAAGAATGTTGGCTCTTATATTTATTAAACTATTTACATTTATTAAACTGTTAAACTTCTTCTTTTCATACAGCTGGGGCTGCTGACAGCTACAACAGTGGGAACTGTACCCTATTCCAAACCATGTGGGGCAGCATCATTGTTGTAACTGCGATGAGTGTTCCCGAGGTTTTGGAAGTGGTCATTTCTAAGGAGTGCTGGGATTCCAGAGTGACACTTTTTATTCACATTGGGTGCCCTTAATGAGGTAACCATTAAAAACAAAACCTTTGATTCAGCCCAAAGTATAACCATTTGGACAATGAGAGGCAATGGCTGCTTTGGTCGATCAATTAACATCCCTCCCTTCCTCAGCTGTTTCAGACCCTACATGCTTTTTTGCTTTGAATGTAACTTACAAACTTTATCTTGTACATCTCATCTAAAGATAACATCTAAAAGTTAAACCCCAAATATCTTGAGTGGTACTGTCCCTACCTCAGGGTCAGTAGATACAGCTTCAAGTCCCACCAATCCGAGTGATGGATCTTAGAAACATCCACATGGATTGATTAAAACTAAATATGTGGGGAATAAGTAGTCCATGTGGTTGGAGTTTATGTTTAAGCAGCAATAAAAGTTCTATCTAAGGAGTATATGCCTGAATTCTGTCTAAGGAGTAGTTGGTGTTTATCTCAGGACTGGCTGTCCTTTCTGGTTTCATATCCTGACCGGTGACTGGGTGTAAAACTGAACCCAGGAGGTTGCAGAAAGTGGGAATAGTTAATATGGAGTCTCTTCTACCCCTGCCCAAAGACTCGTTCTACTGACTTCCATAAAATAAAGACGGCATGAAGTCAACAATGAGTTATAGAGTCATACAGAATGGAAACAGACCCTTTGGTCCAACTCTTCTGTGCCAACCAGACATCCCAATCTAACCTAGTCCCATTTTCCAGCATTTGGTCCATATCCCTCTAAACCCTTCCTATTCATATACCCATCCAGATGCCTTTTAAATGTAATTGTACCTGCCTCCACCACATCCTCTGGCAGTTTATTCCATACATGCACCACCCTCTGCACGAAAAGTTACCCCTCAGGTCCTTTTCAAATCTTTCCCCTCTCACCTTAAACCTATGCCCTCTAGTTTTTGATTACCCCATCCTAGCAAAATGACCTTGGCTATTCGCATTGTCCATGCCCCTCATAATTTTATAAACCTCTATGCGGTCACCCCACAGCCCCTAATGTTCCAGGGAAAAAGCCTTAGCCTATTCAGTCTTTCCCTTTTGCACTAATTTAGTATACTTCCACTGTTTATTTTTTAAAAACACAAGACCAGTTCCAGCCTCCTTGTGTCACACAAGAGGAACATGGTGGGATAGCTGCCACTGATACTTACCATTGAGCCAGGAAGACCAACTGGGCCTGGTAGTCCAGGAGGACCTTGCAATCCTGGTTCACCTCTTTCTCCTTTCTCACCAGTGGGTCCATCCAGACCCTAAAGATTCATTAAACACAAAAGGGAAGGACTTCATCAATGTTTATGGATAATTTAAAAGCTTTTTTAAGAGCTTGGAATTTGAATTGTTTGTAAATGGGACATAAATGATCAAAAGTCACTGCCTTGTGTTCTATCTCTGCGTCATGGAGTTAACGAAGTGTCTTTAGTCAGTTAGCTGTGTAAGTAATCTAGAGTAACGCCAGTAAGCACAGAAACCAGGCCGTGTATAAATCTATGATACTGTAGCACAGCAAATAGATAGTGCTGTTCGCAAAATTCAAGATACCTGACTCAACTAGAACCTGACCCTCTGTGGTATATGAGCTCCAACATGAAGAAAACTTCAAAACCACGTCAGACTCTCTCACATGATGTTAACTAGCATCACATGATCAGTTTGATGGAATCTAATACGAATAAGATTTTCTACATAGCCATCAGGCCAGTAAGGAAATTAATCGACACTTTGCATGCAAAGGTTTGCATAAGTGAATCCATCATTGTTAGGAGAACAGTTTAAATAATAGATACAACCAGAAAAGAATTAAACAGAATGGACAAGTGGATAAAATGTGCAACAAGGTACACATGTCATAACCCCTGGATCACCAATAAACATAGGGAACTTTTAATTGCAACATGTCTTTTTTCTAAAAAGACACAAGACACAGACAAATGATGACCAAGGGTATATAAATAGTGGCTGTTTGGAGAGGAACCTTAGAATGTCATACCTGAAGGTGTCGAGGAAGCTTCAATGGGAGAAATGTAAACTGAACTGCAATAAATTCACTCGCTTGTTAACTCAAGATAGCTGAGCCAAACTGACTCCTTTTAAAATATCTTGTACTGAGAGAAAGGTGTTCACAAGGGAAGGCATCTTTTTATTAATTTTTTAAAATTCATTTGTGGATTGTGGGCATCGCTGGCATTTATTGGCTGTCCCTAGTTGCCTTTGAACTGAATGGCTCACTAGGCCACTTCACAGGGCAGTTGAGAGTGAACCACATTGCTGTGTGAGCCAGACCAGGTGAGGATGGCAGATTTCCCTGCCTGAAAGACATTAGTGAACAAGATGGGCTTTTTTTTCTGACAATCAACAATGGTTTCTTGGCCAGTAGTGGATTTTTAATTCCAGATTATTATTGAATTCAAATTCCACCATCTGCCGTGGCACAATTCGAACCCAGGTCCCCAGAACATTAGCTGAGTTTCTAGATTAATAGTCCAACGATAATACCACTAGGCCACTTCATTTTATTGTGACCAATTGAAGGAGTGGGTGAATAATAAAAGGGGAGACCTCACCTGGGAACTTGACAATTTGGGGTATCCTGCCTGAAACTGTAATAAATCTGGGAATCCTTACCGAGCGACTATAACAACAGATATTAAGAAAATGGGTTGGTTAATTCAGTGTCTGTGTTAGAAAGAACAGATTTGAACGTACAGGGGCTCCTGTCATCCCAGTTTCTCCTTTGTCTCCTTTGGGTCCTGGGAATCCCATAATTCCTGTCTCTCCTTTGGGTCCTGGTGGTCCTTCTGGACCGGCAGGCCCCACATCACCATTTTTACCCCGAGAACCCTGGAGGAAGGAAACACAGCAACCAGGAATGTTTTTATGGCCAAAACAAGATGCTTTCATGAAACAATAGGAATTTTGACACACAATACAATCAAATCAATTCTTTAAGAGAGGGGAGAATTAATTACCTTTTCTCCATCAAGTCCGGGTACTCCTGGCAATCCAATTTCGCCCTAAAAATACACACAATCCCACATCAGTATGTACACTCCATCTGGGAGACACTAGTTGGGTAAATTGACTTAAATTTCCATTGCACAACAATTAAGCAATTTTTTAAAATGTCCACACTTGTGTTAAACACGCAACAAACCTAATGCAGCACAGGAGTAACTGTTTTTATTTGCTGTAATCAAGACCTTCATTGTATTTGCAAAGGTGAGGAGGAATGTACAAGATTTTGAGGGGGAAATCTATCCGGGGACAGCAAAACAAAATGGACTTGACCCTCCCCATCTTTCTAATTTCCTCCAGCCTTGCAACCTTCAGATAACTGTGTTCCTCCAATTTTTGCCTCTTGAGCATTCTCGATTGTCATCATTCCATGAGCAGCCCAGGCTGTAGCTCTAACCTTTACTTGCTAATCCTCTGCTTTCATCTTCCTCCTTGAAGCTGCTTTGTCAAATCTCTCCCTTTGATTGCCCAAGCATTTCTTTAGGAGGGCTGGTGCCAAATTATGTCTGACAATAATAATGATCATTAGTCTCCTATGAAGTACCTGGAAATAAGTTGCTACCCTAAAAAGTGCTACATAAACACAGATAGTTGTTGTCCTTAGACAGGCTGTGAAACAGGCAGACAATTCGCTGTCATTTCCTTCCCCTGGAGTCACCCGAGTTGGTGAAAACCTTACCTTCTGGCCTGGCAGCCCTGGCATTCCTGGAACACCTGGAGGACCCTAGATACAAATCAAACAACACAATGTGAAGCTGCACAACAAAGACCAACCAGCTTTGCCTTTGGAGAAACAAACACTCGCACGACAATGTCAATAGGGCTGTAGGCTGGAGGTGGGGTTCTGAGATCACAGGGTGATTGGCCAGAACTCTAACTTGTGCGCATCAGGAGTTCCTTTAAACTGTCAAACACAAATGCCATGTTATTGTGATCTGGTGCCACCAATGTGAATATGCAATATCAGAATCCTGTTCCTCAGCTGTAGCCAGGCTCCGAGCTGCAATAATTACAACAAACAAGAGGGAGCCGACAGAGAAAGAGATTGAGAAGGCAGTGATTGGCAGGCAGGAGAACAGGCCAGAGTCTGTCAGCCGACCAACTGGACCTTACTGAGTGAAATCCGAGCTTGCCGTTGGGAAACAGAGTCCATTTTGAGGGTCAGTGCTGGCTGAAGATTCTCAAAAGCAGCCAGCTCCACTGTTCTACTGTGGGAAATTAACACTGTGACTACACAGACCAGGTACGTCAGAGAGGCAGTTTTGGTGCATTGCATATTGGGAGCAGAATGGGAGGCAAGACATTGGTGCCTACTCTTCCAATGCATTGCATTTATTTACCAGAGTGCAATTTGGGAATAGGGCAGCGGTCAGAGTGTAAGTTGGGAGTAGGGCAGGGAACAGAGTGCAATTCGGGAATAGGGCAGGGGGATAATCAGGGCTGCCCCTCCTTGTGCAGCTTACAAGAATAAAGCAGCTTCTGAAATTCCAATTCTGATGAATGGTCACTGGATCCGAAATGTTAACTTTCTTTTCTGTCGACAGATGCTGCCAAACCTGCTGAGTTTCTTCAACAATTTCTGTTTTCTTTTCAGGTTTAAAGCATTTGCAGTTCTTTGTTTCATATTATTCTGAAGTTATCCTATTTTTATGAAATTGAAATAACATCTTTATACACAGAAACCTCTGTTTTTGTCAGAGGGTGTTTCTCTTGCAGCAAAGATGGCAGAAGATGACCTCAAGAATTCCAAGTCCAGCCTCCATTTCTCCCACTTATGGATGTTTGTTGGGGGTGGGGGGGGTGACGTGGTGGGAGCTGTTGGGGGGGGGGAGGGTCAGTATTTCATGCACACACTGGTACCAAAGCAGCTGTCTATGTCATGGGACTTTGGACACTCTGGAACACAGAGTGTATGAGATGGGTAGAAAGCATTAAGCTGCATGGATGGGGCACAGGGAGTGTGTGGGTGAGGGGGATTGAGATGGTGTGAGGAGAAGGCTGGAGGAATATTTTACATATCTCCCCTTTTGGGAAAGTAGGCTACCCCTTTGGAGGTTTTGGTGGAGATAAGGAACCCTTTGAAACCGTGAAAAGGCATTCCAGTGTGCAAAAAGTGCATAAACTTATTGGGACTGTGAAAGAACCATCCAAAAAGCGTGTGGAGTTAAACAAAATTACTGCCAGGTATTTGAGAATGGCTGTTCATATTAAGGCATGAAAGGATTTGTGCTGCATGACTGATTTCCAAACTGTAATGTTTACAGTGGAAGCCTATTGATGGACAGCTCCAATTGCTTATCGAATGGAAAGGGTTGCTGATAGAAAGGATTAAGGATTTGAGTGATATGTTGCTTAAAGAGGCATTGAATGAAATGTTTAATTTTATAAGTGATCAGTTGAATCAACTTCAATGTATTGGATTTTTGGTATCAGTGTTAAATTTCCAACAGCAACTTCATTAATAAAGTGATAACTTTATTTTCTGTCAGGATGTCACCTGATGAATGCACATGTTGGATAATGGGTGACATAGCACTGAGAAGTAAGGGCAAATGGTTGTGGGTGGAATTTTGAATTGGCCTTAGGGTTTTAAAGGGACAGAGGAATGATTGGGGGCATATGGGTTATGGGGAGGCATGAGGGGTGGGTAGATGGGCATAACGTATCAAGAGGCATGAGGTAGATGGTCAATGGGGTATGAGAGGCCATGAAACGTGGGTATTGGCCGCACCAAACTGAAAATAGTACGTGCATGCAGCCATTCTCAAAACTTGAGATTGCAGGGGTAGGATTTTCCCCACGTCTGTGTATCCAACTGTGGTCCGCAAATTGGGGTCTGAAAGTGTTACAGTGTAGAAAGTGCGGCCTCAGAGGGTGGTGGGAGCAGATTCAATAACAATTTTGCAAAGGTATTTGGATAAAATCTTGAAAAAAGGAAGAATTTCCTGCACTAAGAGCAAAGAGCCAGGGGAGTGGAAGTAGCTCTTTCAAAGAGCTGGCGCAGGCATGGAAGGCTGAATGGCCTTCTCCTGTGCAGTGAGATTCAATCATTTCTCCTTGAATGCACAGCACATCCTACACTTACAATGTTTCCACTATTTCCTTAACTCTGAATTCTAAACCCGTTGATAAAAAAGCCTCAGGGGAAGGGGGTAGTGATGTAGCTCTTTGACTAAGATGTACCTGGAGTGCATCGTTGATGTTACCATTGTAGTCAATGATCTCGGTCTTTCCTGGCTCACCTTTGGGACCTGGCGGACCCTGCAAAAGAGACACAAGAGATTGAAAAGTATATCACTGTGAGTAACACGCCTGCCCTCATAAAACTGAAGCTCATTACATTCATTGTGTGTGTAAACTAAAGGACATCATTTATAACAGAACAATGACGTGCAATACAACAAAACAGTGACCCGTTTTATCGCTGGAGAATTAATTAATAAAGAAATGAGCATTACTGAAAATAGCATCATGAACCAAAATTCAACTCACCCGCGGTCCTAAGACTCCAGCTTCGCCCTGTAAAAAATTCCACAACAATCGTTTACGGAGATTTTGGTTATCAATCCTGTTCCACACAGTTTAGATTTAGCAGAATAACAATCGCCCTCAACAATTTCCCCGATATTGTGTTCACAAATATATAACAGATTGATTAATGTTGTGCCCTGACTGTTTGGAAACGGGAGTCTGAATCTGTCAAATGGAAGTGGCTCACTCCGTGTGGGAATGATGGGAAAGCCCTTCAGGCATGTTGAATAAGTTCATTTGCGAGGCTGGGATGGATGCGACGGTATCCCTGATATTCTTCCGGGAAGTTGTGTTACTCCCTCTAACCCCAGCCCCATCCAAACACCTCCTCATCATAAGCAAACTGACTTCAAAACTGTAAAAAAAATCATCAAGACTCTCCTAAAACTCCCTTGTCTCCCAGGAGACCTCCTGCAACAGGAGACAGCCAAAGGTAGCTCGACTCTCCCCATCGGGCAGCCCTGCTCCTACTTCCTGCATCTTCAGGCTGCTGACTGGAGTGAGAACATTTGAATAACGCACTGGTTTACTCAAATGGACAGGATTAAATGCTCTCGCCGCTGCCCTCTCATCACCATCCTGAGCCTATCCTGATATTCCTAACTGGGACTCAGTGCCATCACTCTCACCTCTCTGTGAGAAAGAAGCAGCAGTGTGCACCTTCCAGACACTGGAGCACAAACCCTCAATCAATCCTCCAGTGCCTCACTGAGGGAGTACTGCACTGTCACAGAGAAAGCCGCACTGTCGCAGGGAGATCCACACTGTCGCGGGGAGAGCCGCTGTCGCAGGGAGAGCCGCACTGTCACAGAGCGCACTGTCGCGGGGAGAGCTGCACTGTCCCAGAGAGAGCCGCACTGTCCCAGAGAGCGCCACACTGTCCCAGAGAGCTGCATTGTCCCAGAGAGCTGCATTGTCCCAGAGTGCACGGTAGTGGGGAGAGCCGCACTGTTCCAGAGAGAGCCTCACTGTCCCAGACAGTGCGGCACTGTCCCAGAGAGAGCCGCACTGTCCCAGAGAAAGCCGCACTATCACAGAGAGAGCCGCACTGCCGCGGGGAGATCCACACTGTCGCGGGGAGAGCCGCTCTGTCGCGGGGAGAGCCGCACTGTCCCAGAGAGAGACGCACTGTCCCAGAGAGAGACGCACTGTCCCAGAGTGCACGGTAGCGGGGAGAGCCGCACTGTTCCAGAGAGAGCTGCACTGTCCCAGAGAGAGCCGCACTGTCCCAGAGAGAGCGGCACTGCCGCGGAGAGAGCCGCACTGTCACAGAGTGCAGTGCCGCGGGGAGAGCCGCACTGCCGCAGGGAGAGCTGCACTGCCGCGGGGAGAGCCGCACTGTCACAGAGTACACTGTCGCAGGGAGAGCAGCACTGTCCCAGAGAGAGCTGCACTGTCCCAGGGAGAACCGCACTGTCCCAGGGAGAACCGCACTGTCCCAGGGAGA